CACACAGCTTTTTCAATCATAATTTTTTAATAATAATTATCATTATTATTTTGATTAGTTTAAATCTAATTTTAAAATCATATTGATTGCTTATTATTATTATTATTATTATTAATTATTACATTTACTATTATTATTAATATTATTATAAATAATTAAATAAATAAATGAATAAATAAAAAATTAAAAATTATAAGAAAAAAATGGTAGGTACGGTTGATACCTGAAAACGTGTGAATTTGATCCGAAATATTGCGGCTGTAGTGTGCTTCCTGGCCATTGGGGGGTCGTGGGACCTCGATATTAATGTATCGGCGTTTTAACAATATGATTGGGAGCAATGAAATGATAACCCGGCATCGGCATACCAGCTGTTTCCATTGATATCCTGAAATCATTTAAACATACATATATATATATATATATATTTATTATAATCGTGACGTAACCGTGACAATTATTAATAATAATAATAATAATTTTTTTTTTCCCAAATTAATTTGTTTACAATATCGATTATAATATATATAATTTTTTTTTGTAACAAAAACAAAAAAAAAGTGGTTACATTAAGTAGGAAAAAAAAAAAAAAAAAAAATAGAGAGAGAGAGAGAGAGTGAGTGAAAGAGAGAAAAAGAGAAAAACTAACATTTTTTTCTTCAAACCACTTTTTTTTCTTCCCTTTTGTAATGAATATAACTGAATCAGGATCACCAGGATCAGTTACACTGTAAATGATAAGATTGATTGATTCCCTTTGGATGAAAGAATAATAATAATAATATAAAGGAAATATCGGAACGGTTTACCTGGTTTAGGATCCCACGTTGGAATTGATGAGTTTGTTTTGTTTGTTTTTTTTTTTTTTTGTTTTTTTTTTTTTTTGTTTCAACCGTCAAGTCTTACAATTCAATTATTAATTAATTAATTAATTAATTAATTTTTCATTTAACAAAAAGTTATAATTATTATTAATTTAATAAACTTAAAAAATTAATTTTTTTTTTTTTTATGATTTGAATATTTATTTATTTATATATTGTAAAATTAAGAAGAAAACTTCATTTACAAAGTACTCTCACTACTAAATATTACCAAAAAATAATAATAATAATAATAATAATAATAAACATTAGTTTTTGTGTATAAATATAAAAAAATAATAATAATAATAAAACAGAACATTTTGAAATCTAATTTTTTCTTTCTAAATAAAAAAAAAAAAAAAAAAAAAAAAAAGGATTAGACAAAAATTTTCTGCATGTCCGTCCAATTGAAAAAAAAAAAAAATCATAATAATGATAATAATAATAATGATAATATACAAATACGTCATAAATCAAAAAAAATAAAAAATAAAAATAAACCTATTTTTTTCCAAAAATTCACCTAAATTAAATAATATCGAGTCAAAAATTTATTTTTATATAGATTTAAAAAAATACAAAAAACGTCAATTTAAAAAAAAAAAATAAAGAAATCAAACCAATTAATAATTCTTTGGATGTGTTTTAACGACATTCACAATTATTACTTTTAATAATAATAATAATAATAATAAAACGATTCGTTTTCCTTTTCATCGTCTAGTCTCCTTACTTAGATTTACATATATATATATATTATTATTATTTTTTTTATTTTAAACAAATTCATTTTTCTAATTTATCCATTATCCATCCCTCCTTTACTTTAAATTTATAATTATTGTTTATTATTAATAATAATAATGATAATGATAATAATTTAATTTAAAAATAATTAAAACTGAAAAAACTACTACCACCACTACTACTACTATTACTAATTTAATAAATTTTTTTAATAAAGTTTTTGCCCTTTCACGTTCCCATTTCCCTCACCATGCATACTTACATACAAACGTACGTATGTGCCTGTCTACACACGCACTTACGCACCCCCACACAATTCCCCCCCCCAAAATTATCGAAACCCAAATTCATTTTTTAATTTACTACCCTTCGTACTATCAAATTTTTTTTTTTTAAATCATTATTATTATTATTATTATCAATATTATTATTATTATTATTATTATTATTATTATTATTATTATTATTATTATCAATATTATCATCATACACTAGTTATTTTTTTTTTTCTACACGTCAACACATTTACTTCATATTATTTTCATATATATATATATATATTAATATATAATTTTCTTCTGCTTCCTTTAAAATAAGATTAAAATAAGAACAAAAACAAAACGTCAATTATCATCATCATTATCATTATTATTATTATTTTGATTGATTTAGTGCTTGCATACGGATCGTCAATTTTATTTTATTATTATTATTTTTTTTTTAGTCACCATAAGAAACAAGCATTTCAATTTTAAAAAAAAGTCAAAGCTGCAAATAAAAAAAAAAATTGGGAATACTAATTTTCCATTTTCCCCTTTTCCTTTTTCCCTATTTTTTTTTTTTTTTTTTTTTTAGAAATTAATAATAATAATAAAAAAAATAATAATAATAATAATTAAATCTTAATTAATTAAATCTAGAAAAATTTCATTCTTAAACGCATTAAGGATTAAAAAAAAAAAAAAAATGGCATTTACACTAATTACTAATAATAATAATAGCTAAAATGTCTTGTATAACTTTGGTAAGAGAACTAAAAAAAAAAAAAATAATGATAATAATAATAAGTCATAATAAGTCATAATAAGTCATAAAAAAAAAACGGTCAGTTTTGGAACAATAACAATGAACTCTCAAAAAATTCATTAAAGTATAAATAAACAATTATTTTTTTACGAGGGTCCTTTCATTTTTCTTTTGCTTTGTTTTCCTTTGTTTTGTTTTCCCTTTCCTTTAAAAAAAAAAAAAAAAGTGGAAAATTGGAAAAGTGAAAATGCCACTTTTTTTCTTTTTTTTTTTTTTTATTTAATAGGGTGCAAATTTACTGCGTTCCGTTTTGGGTTTTATATCGTCATGATCGCTATTTCTGTTACGTGAATTGTAAGACTTTGTGTGAGAACGGTGTACTCCGGTTGTTTGAACCTGAGATCCACTCCCTAAACCGCCGGCCAAACCTAACAATTCCGTCAAACCTCCCAGTGCCTGAAGGCTTGACAGAGCATTCAAAGCTCCCGGTTTGGCCAACAGTTGTGCGAGTGGTAAAGCCGATGCTAATGGCGAAGCCGATGATGTCGTCGTTGAACTGCTTGCCGTTGTCGAACCGCCGGAATTTGGGGAGTTTTGGGCTTCAAGATTTGCTTTCTGAAGTTCCACACTGAGGATTAAAAATTAAAAAAAAAAAAAAAAAGAAAAAAAAGGATGTGATGTTTAAGTATTTCGATCGTGCGAATGTTTGAGTGAGTGTGCGAGTGTGTATTTGCGTTTTAAATGCCTTTTTTTTTTTTTTTTTTTTTTTTACAAAAAAAACGCAAAAAAATACACGGAAAAATAAGGGGTCCAGTGATTTTTTTCCCTCGGGAAGAAAAAATCGAAAGGACTCGTTTTTGCAAACAAACAAAAAAAAAATGGAATCATCATGTTAATGAAATCATGGTTGTGAATAAATAAAATTCAAGGATGTCATTTTATTCGTCATTTTTTTTAATGTCGACGACAAAAGTTTTTGATGTGCTTGGCTTTAAAAACGTTTTTCTATCACTTCTGCTAAACATATATAATAATAATAATTAATTAATTGCTAAAAAAATAAAATTTTTGCTTTTGTTCACAGCATCATCACGAAATTCTCCACATTACATATTTTAATAAAGCCAAGCAAATCAAAAAAAAATCATCTGTCAACATATTAAAAAAAAAAAAAAAAAAATTTAAACAAATAGGAGGAATTGGTAACATTTCAATAAGGTATTGGTAGCAGGTCACGTGATTATTATAAAACTACATAACCGATACGGAAAAAAAAAAAAAAAAAAAAAAAAAAAATTAAGAAAATTTAATCTTGAGACTTGACACAAATTATTTTATAATTCACTGATTCTTTTTTTCTTCTTATTTTAAAGAGAGAGAGAGAGAGAGAGAGAGAGAGAAAGTAGGTACTAGCCATCTATCATCATTATTTCGCCTAAAAACAGTGCAATCACGATGACCTGCTGGTAAAAACATTTCATGGGAAAACATACAAAAAAAAAAAAAAAAAAAAAAAAGAATAAAAAGGTTTTCAGGAAGGCAGGATGAGGATTAGGAATAATTAATTAGGATGATTTCGGTACACGTGTGTGAGGAGCAAGGATAATTTGTGCTCTCATTAGACCCTGCCTATTGAATTTAATATAATAATAATAATAATAATCAAAAAATGATTAATTAATTAATTAGCAAATAAGCAAACCTATTCTAGCCTTTATCTAATTATCTACATGATAGCCGTTTACTTTATAATGATACCTATTCGCGCTTTTTTTTTTTCTACTCCTGAATGAATAATAATAATAATAATAATGTTATTAATAACTAACCTACCGTCGGGTATATACGAATTCATTTTTTTTTTCACACTTAAATAAGTGCAAGACTTGAAATGCATAAAAAAAAAAAAAAAAAAAAAAAAAAAAGAGGACGCGGTACGAATTAATTTAAATTTTTTTTTTTTTTTTCGCGCGCTTTCGTTTAAACGAAAATATTTTTTGAAAAAAATAATAATAATAATAAAAGAAAAACGTTTAGGACTTATTAGAAAAAATAATTTATTTTTACAAACGAATAAAATCAACCTAATTTTGTAGCGCTGGGAACTTTTTTCAACGTCTTGAGAGTCAACATGGTCCGAGAGCACAACTGAACATGGGATTTTATGAACAAGCTGGAAGAGAGAATCGAGAAACCTGTAATTTTGGAAAATTTATAGTTAGTAATTTGGTATTTGGGATGTTCACTGATAATTGAAATTATTATTATTATTTTTTTTTTTTTTTTTTTTTATCGTCGACAAGAGACGACTTCGGGATTTCGAAAAGAAAAAAGAAAAAAAAAAAAAAAAATCATATCGTTCTCAAAAAAAATGAAAAGGAAAACAGTAAGAAACAGCTTTTTTTTTTTTTTTTTTTTTTTTTTACACGATAATAAAATAATATAAATATGAGCGACCTAAATATTAAGAATGCTGTTTCAAATTATTTAAAAAAATCAAATTTAATCCAAGGATGGATCATCGAATAAAATCAGGAGGAATTTCACAAAGAAAAAAAGAAAAAAAAAAGGATCAGTAAACACCCCGTAAAGTGGTTTTTTTTTTTTTTTTTTTTTTTTTTTAAAGTAAAAATAATAAAAATAAATAATAATAATAATAATAATAATAATAAACCGGATTTTCCGGGAAAAAAATTTAAAAAATTATTTTTTAAAAAACAAGGGATTTTTTGATAAAAAATACAAGGTAGGAGGGGCGGTAGGAGGCGATTCTTATGACGACAATGATGACCCTTCTTCAATTTTTTTTACCCCCCCAATCCTGTAAATCCTTTTAAATTCAAAAAAAAAAAAAAAAAAAAAAGACAGAAAGAAAAGAAAAACAAAAAGACGAAAACAGAAAACATAAAAACAAAAAAAAAAAAAAAAAAAACCATAAAATAAATAAATAAATAAATAAAAGGAAAAACTGATAGAAAAAAAAAATAAAAAAAAACGACGAATCATGCACAAAACACATCATTTCCCAAAATTTGTATGTTTTCACTTTGATACGAAAATAATTTAATTGATAGAAAGCAAAAAAAAAATTTTCATAAAAACGTGTCCAAGTTGTAAACGTGATACGTTACATTACATATTTGTACATAAAAAAAAAAAAAAAAAAAAAAAATTTTCCTTTTTACCAAAATAATCAACAACAACAACAAAATATTACGTAACAGTAATAAAGTCAATAATCGAAGGGAATATTGAAAACATTCAAAAGAGTTTAACTTTTTTACACAACTTACCACCCCCCCCCACCACCATTACAACCCTTACCACAACAACCCTTAACATTTCGAAATTTAAAATTTTCATGCGGGTAAATATTTTTATTTCTTAGTTTTTAAACTAATCAATTTACAATTTTTCTCATCTAGTATATTATTATATTATAGTTATTAATTTTCCAATTTTCATGCAATGAAATTCCCCTAATTCGTTAAAGTAAATAAAATAATAATAATAATAATAATAAGTGTGCAAAAAGAAATAAATTGAAACGAACGAACGAACGAGGGTCATCATGCAGTTTTCAGATTATAAATAAAAAAAAAAAATAAATAAATAAATAAATAATAATAATAATAATGATAAATAATAAAGCCGACCATTAACCAAATAAGCTAGCTCATTTTTCTAACTCGATTTTTTTTTTTTTTTTTAAATTTTATAAAAAAAAAAAAAAAAAAAAAAATATTAATTTATCACCAAGGATTAATTAATTGGTTGTAGCATTTTACTACTACTACTCTACCTCATGTTGATGAGGTATTGAGCCAAAGCCACCGCCTCTGGATTTCCCGCTATCGTAATCGTCCGATCCGTATTGCCTCCCTCCCGCTCCTCAGAATTACTGATTCGTATCATGGCACCCGAAAGCTGTCTGTAAATTTATAAATTGACCTCTTTTTAAAAAAAACCGTAGGAAAAACGTTTTCAACCTACCTCATGTTAATAAGATACTGGGCCAAAGCGACAGCATCTTGGTTGCCAGTTATAGTGATCGTACGATCAGCTGTCGCTTCGCGATCATCCGATTTCGATATGCGAATCACGGCTCCTGAAATTTGTCTGCAAATAAATTATTTAAATAGCCGTTACGGTTGTTGCCACAATTTCTTCTTCTTCTTTTTTTTTTTTTTTTAAATAGAAAAATTAAATTAAAATAAATAAACGAGTAAATAATATACGTATGAAATTAAATGAAATAAATAAAAATAAATAAATAATCAAACGAAAACCTTAAAGAAGAAAACAAAAAAAATTAAAAAAAAGAAAAATGAAAAAAAAAATTGACTAAAGGGGCAAAAATCGTAAAAGCTACTTTTTTTTTTTTTTTTTTTTTTTTTGGCAACACTTTTGAACGCGTTATTATTATTATAAATAAATAAAAAATAAAAATTTCAGTACAAAATTTAGCCGTTCGAACGTGATGCGATACGAAACAATAACTGGCATTTTTTTTTTTTTTTAAAATTGTAAAATTTTACGCAATAATTTTTTTTCTCCAAACGTCATTTTCTTTCTTTTTTTTACACTTATTCAATTAATTAATATAATTTGAATGTCGCAAGTAATTTTCATCTTTTTAAAATAAAATTGATGTATTTACCTTATTTCAGCAATTTTAGTGCCCCCTTTACCGATGATGCATCCGATAAGCTCATTGGGAACAGTCATTTCATGTGTTTGCTGACTGTTGCCCTGTTGATTGCGGCTCGGATTGTTTGTACGCAGTTGACTTCCAGCCAAGGCCGCCAAAGCTAGAAAAAAACCGGGTTTAATGTAGTTAATAAAAAAAAAAAATAATAAAAAATAAAAATTTTTTGAATGAGCGAAATAAAGAAGAAGCATGCGTTTTTGTTTGTTTGTTTGTTTCTTTTTTTTTTTTCATTGCAATTGATTTAAATGAATTTTATGAAATTATGTTTTGAAAGGACCAAGGAAATAGAGGGAAGGAGGATTTTGTTCAGAGGATTATTATTATTATTATTATTATTAGGCAAACAAAAAATAAAACAATAAACGAAAAAAAAAAAAAAAAAAAAAAAAAAAAAAAGATATAAATTAATCTTTCTTACCTGCAGGATTGAGCCCGCCAGTGTTTGTTGTGTTGAGTGCGGGGAGCCCCAAGGCCGCCAACCCCGCAAGCGGATTAGCAGCACCGATCTGCCGCATCTGTAACGTCAACAGATCAATTCTTCCCTGGCAAAACAAAATAACCCCCCTCCCCGAATACTCCCTCCCTCTTTTATTCAAGCATACAAGTTACAGTTGTGCCGCGATGATGAGAGATCATAAGAACAAAATGAAATTATGTAAATTTTGTGTACTCATCGAGGCAGAACTGCAGAGGCTCAATTGAATTTAAACAACAACAACAACAACAACAATAAATTCAATACTTTTGCCATCTTTTTAATTTTCTGTTTATTTAGTTTTAGATTAAAAACAAGTAAAAAAAAAAATAAATACTAAATACCAAAGTTCAAAATTTACCAGTGACGGTAAAAAAACTTTTCATTTTCGTTTTCATTTACAAAAATTTATGTTTAAAAATTTTTTTTTTTTTTTTTTTTTATTGACGTCCTAACATTCTGAACCAGAATCAAATTCATCAATTAAATGCCTGAACCTTTTTATTTTATTTTCAAGAGCACGCTAAAATTTTTCTTTTCTTTTATCAAAGTTAATTTATCGATAGAAATTTTTTAAATTGAATTTAAATTTCAAAAAAAAAATTTAAATAATTTTACTTACATTATCATGTGCGGGTACAGCATAATTACCCTGAATTGTATAGGCTTGACCACCTGCAAGAATGACGGGACCAGCGACTTGAGGCTTCGGACGATATGGAATAGTGGCTCCTTTTGGAGGAGACTTGAAGAAAAAAAAAAAAAAAAAAATTTTTTTTTTTTTTAGATTTAAAATAAACTTATAAGTTAATACGAAATATCCATTCCATTCATCATCATCATCATCATCATCATTTACCTCGAGCATAACGCAACATATGTGATATATACACTGGGTTATTGCTTCTGAAGTTCCAGAAATGGTTACTGCCCTTTCCGTTGAGTTTGGAAGCATTTCCGATGCAACTTGAATGGATGCTCCGGTAACTTCTCTGATTTCTTTTATTTTAGATCCGCCTTTACCGATTAAAGAACCGCACTGAGATGCCGGCACGATCAAACGTAAAGTTATTGGTGGTTTGGGAATACCCATTGAACCCCCTCCACTCTGTAATTCTTGAAACTGTAATAAATAACAATAATAATAATAATAATATTAATAATTTTATAATATTTATAATAATTCCATTAAATATCTATGCCATCTATGCAATGTCTCACCTCTTCAAATTTTTTGCAAATAAGTGAAAATGCTTTAAAAATAGCATTTGTGGGTCCCGTAACAGTAACTATACGCTCTGGACAAGATCCGTCTGATATGTTAATCTTGGCTCCCGATTCTTCGCGAAATCTTTTAACAATTTCACCTTTTTTTCCTATTATACTCCCAACTTCCTATAATTTATTATTTAAATTAATGATAATTATTAATAATAATAATAATAATAAAATTAAAAAAAAAAAAAACCGTTATTCGTAGTACGTGCAAAAGTCCCAGTTTTTTAAACTATTTAAAAAAAATGAAACATCAAATTTTTTTTATAAAAAAATTAATAATAATAATAGTAAAATTTCAAATATTTACTTTTCCTTGCATAATGAGTCGAATAGTAAGCGTAATATTAGGATCATCATTTAGTAGATGTCTGTCCTCCATTTTTTTTTTTTTTTTTTTTTTTGCCTTCGGAAATTGGTTTATAAATAAGACTTAAATTCAAGACAGCAGCCTGAAAATCAAAAATAAATGATACAATAATTATTTAAATTATTATTATTATTATTATAATTACTCTTATCCTTTTTATCTAAATTCAATATTGAAAATCTCAAATAAAGAAAAAAAAAAGGGGAAGCCTTATTATTATTATTATTATAATCACATACGTTGTTTATACATATAATATAAATGTACCATATAAAATACAAAAGTTTTTTTTCCGAATAGGTATTTAATTACGTCGACTTAATTAACGACGAAAACTAATAAAGATTGAGGGCAATTAATATTTAAAAACCATTTCAACTAACCGTTTTGAAAACTTTTTAAAACCGCATCGGTTTAAATTATACCGGGTATTAATTTCATCCGATGTCTAAAAACATTTTTCCAAAATGCAAAAAAAAAAAAAAAAAACTTTGACAAATCGACTTTTAAAATGTAGCGTAAAAATAAAAAAAAAACAACTTGGTCGAAAGTTGTTTTAGTTTTCAAAACTTCAAATATAGTTTTTTACAATGAATAATAGCTGACAGACAATTCTTTTTTTTTTTTTTTAATGTAAGAAAATAAAAAATAAAAAAATAACCAATGAAAGCGGGGAATGAAAAACATGGGCTTCAACCACCGACTTATTCTGCACATATTTCAGGGCAATTTATATAAAAGAAGTCGTTCATGGCAACGTGAGGAGAAAGGGGGATGCAATTTCCATGGCAACAGGAACTCTAGTGCTCCAGTGGGATGAAACCATCCATCGTGACGTACTCACAACACACGTAAGACTTGTCAAGAATTATTAAAAAACCATTTATATCCACCCGCAATACGAAAATGATAATAATAATAATAATAATAATAATAATAATAATAATAATAATAATAATAAAATCTTTTTTTAGAATTTAAAAATAAAAAAAAATGATTTAAAATTATTTTGACTTTTTTAATTTTTTTTTTTTTTTTTTAATGAAAATTCACACAAATTGATTACGTCTCTCATTTTATCATTTAAAAATAAAAATAATAATAATAATAATAATAATAATAATAATAATAATAATAATAATAATAATCTTCTGCTTTTTTATTTTCATCTCTCTTCTGTGAGACAAAAAAAAAAAAAAAAAAATTATTATTCGTTTAGAAATTTATATAATTGCGCAATAAAATTAAATTGAAAATTTATTTATTTATTTTTTCCAGCTCCCCTCCTCCCCCCCTCCGTTTAATAAAAACGGTAGTCGGTTAGTTAGTTAGTTATATATACGTTCGTAAATAAATAAAAAAAAAAAAAAATTGAAAAAAAAAAAAAAAAAAATTTTATTTATAGCTTTTAGGTTGCAAGTCTAGGTTAGAGTACGCCCCCTTCCCCCCCCCAAAAAAAAAACGGGATGTTAAGTCAGGCGTAGGGGATTTTTTTTTTTT